TTTGTCATTCCTTCCTTAAAAGTTGAAACAATATTTGCTTATAAATCCATATAGAGGCTTGATTGCATTTTTTCCGGCCCTGCACTTTACACTTAAGATTTTCTTTGATCCCTGTGATTACCCTTACCTTTTCTAATAATTTTGAATTCATCCAGTTTGACAATTCTGCCAGAAAAGTAGGCAAAACATGCAAACCTAGGTCACTGACTGATGTCGTCCTCCCCTCCTTCCTTGTTGCTCCTGTCTTTTCTCTGAAGGTCAACTTTTTGTTCTGGACATCTTGTATGCCCTCCAATATATTTTCTTGTTCTTTTTAAGTCTTTAAACTACATATTGTCTATATGCAATGTCATGTACTTTGGATTTAGTTTTCTGATTCTTTTTTCGCCATAGATACTATAGTGCTATGCGTTTGGAGATAACAAGAGAGGTTTTACTGATTTAAGTACTTGCAGTGGGAGTCTGAAATGGTGGTTTAAATGCAAATTATGCTTTGCGTTATATGGCTGTAGGTGAACTATGACTGTTTTGTGCAAACCTGAGGTAGGTATGTAGTGTGATGATTGATGTAGGAGAGCTCTGAAGTTCTGTGGGAGTGTTAGAGTGTAAGATTCATATTCTGAGTAGTTTTAAGGACTACGCGTAGCAAGTTGTAAAATGGAAAATGTTTCCAGAAGTTTTAATGGCTTAAAACTTAGCATGAGGGGAGGTCCACGAGTTTTCTGGTGCAGCAACTGGGTAAGATGATGTTGGCTTCTAGAGTTAGGGATGGGATAAATATGGATTGTAGGGTTTTAATAAAAGAAGTGATGAGAGAGTGTTAGTCAAGGATGAAAGGTAAGTGAATAGAACCCGAAGAACAGTTTTTTCATTCTTTGTGCATTTAAATGCGTAAGTGATGATCCATCTTCCTGCGTTCTCAAAATAGGATTTGTAAAGGGTGTGTCAGAGCTGGAACCCAGCTTCGATGGGCTTGAATTTGCTTCCACCTGGATATTTGTGTTGTGCTTTCAACCGGGTAGCACATCATAAAAAAGTTGCAATATGCTTTTTGTGACTTTGCTCACAAGATAAAATGATAGACCCGAATAATAGTTCCGAGAATGTACCTTTAAGTATGTACCTTATATCAAACATGTAAGTTTTTCTAGATCTTCATCATGGACTTCAGGAATTCCATGCTTTTAGATGTCTTGCTGAATCTGAAACTTGTTATGAAGTGTGCAAACCACCAATGAATGAATAAGATATGGAGGAGCTTCACAAAGTGACAAACACAGTTTCCTTTCACTGGTATGTTCTTTGATACCTATTTTGTGTTTAATTGTCATTTTTAATTTAGTAATTAAATATTTGTGGGTTTCTGCGGTTGCCTACTGTATGATGACCGAAATAACCATGAGAAATTCGTGCAGTATAATTTGTTGGCAGCAGTCCCTCGTGCTTGACCCTTGCTCCAAACGCTTAATATGCTTGGAAGAACATTCAATGGTGGGACAGTAGATTTCCTTGAAAACAAGATTTGGTAGTTATATCTCGTATCATTATCTAGGACTAGGTCGTCTAAGGATCATGTTACATGTACATGTTGATTAGTATCTTGACTTCTTTTTTTGGTTTCATGTGGATAATCAGAAAATATTCTTTTGTTTTCGTTAGCTTTTTAGATCTCAGATTGTTTCTCATTCCATTAAAAGATTGCTTCATTGGATGTGGAATTTCTTCACGGTTTTAGGTTGGCTGCCTCTAGCAGTACACTATACATTTTTCGTGTTCTTAAATTGGCTGCCTCCAGCAGATTGGTTGATACTTGGATTTTCATGGAATGTATTGTAAAATGAAAAGAGAACCAGTTTAAATTTATAAAGATTTTGCTTCTCCACAGTTTTATAGTGGATCAAAGGCAAAGTGACAATCTTCTAGCCTCTCTACAATTTGATTTCTTAGTGATATCTGAAAGGATCTATCCAAACCCCTACGCCATCCGAAACATAGCACCCTACGGACAATAAAAAAATTTGAGCAGATGAACCCATGAATAAATTAAAGAATTAGCAGAGATGTCAAAAATATCCAGATTTCATCATTTATGCATCTTGACTGCATTTTACTTCATCCTCAAGGCAGCAAATCCAGAAGCTCCCCCTCAAGGAACAAAAGATTGCTTCAGTCAATTTACCCAAAGCATATGTACATAAAACTGATTTTTGTCAACCTGGAATTACGAGTATACAACAAAAGCCAAGCTTACATCTTCATCAATAATATGACAGTGCCCTAGTCATCCAGATCCATCCTACCACACTTGCCCAATATAAACTTAGTAATGCTGACGGAACTGGAACGACCCTCTGCTGGAGGGATGACAAACTTGAAATATGGTACTGCTACAGTTTAATTTTAGTTTCTCCTGCAAAAAGCTGAAGTGAATGGTTTCTTCGGTGCTTCAATGGTGTCACGAAATCCAAGTACGATGTACACGGTCTTTGTGTGAAACTGGAATGAGGAGTTCTACAATTTTTGAGACAAATCTGACATTTGGAAGATGAAGAGCTGCGTGATACTCCTCTTCATCAAAATCGGCCTGTTTTAATGTTCTCATGTAACTCTCAGTAGCTGATCTTGGATGACCCCTTGCAATAGAGACCTGCGATTTTATGGAAAACTATGTAACCTTGAAAACCAAAAATGGCATCTCAATGAAAACAAAGAAATAAAATTAACAAGGAACTTTCCAAATGTCCCTTTCCTAAGCCAAAAGCGCCATTCTTTCATAGCCTTCCCTTCAACATTAACAGAGATGTTTGTTCAGCAACTGTGATGAAATTCCATTGTGTCCAAACCATATGCCACTCCACTCCCAATTGCTTTGACATAAGCTTCTTTCAGACACCAATATCTACAGAACCCTTATAAATCATCAGCTCCTCGAATCTTTTGACCTCTCTCGCATGCTGCTTCCG